TGCCCCTTTAAGGGGTCCGGGGCCGGGAGGGGGGCAGACGAGTTTCCCTGGTGTTGGCCAGAGTGGCCACCAGGGAAACCTGGGGAGGGCTAGCCTCCCACTAGTTCGAATTAAGGGGCTACACACCCCTTAATTTGAACTAGCTAGTTCGAACTAGGCTTAATCCTCGTGGAATGAGGATTACCTAGTTCGAACTAAGCGCTCCGTTAGTTCGAATTAAGTTCGAACTAACGGAGCGCTAGTGTAGCGCCTATGTAAGTTAGTTCGAACTAACATCTGTTAGTTCGAACTAACTTCGTAGTGTAGACATACCCAGAGGGAGGCTATGCCTCTTGGTTATAATACAGTTTAGCAGTGTTCCCCCATCCCGACAATTAAGGACCATACATCCCATCATGGGACTATGCCTAATGTCCCAACATTGAAGAATTGTATTTCCTACCCTCACACCTTCTCCTGTAAGGACAAGCATCAACAATACCTGTAATGTTTGGGTGAGGCACATTTTGCTGCCAAGTGCAATTGTTCCAGCTCCTTCCTAACCAGAATGCAAGGCCCAAGAGCTCTGCTTGAAAAAGTTTCCTGTTAGAGGCAGCCATGAATCCCTGCTTTGACCTGGGCCTGGAAGAATTGCCCTCCTTTCAATCCCCATAAATCTGCCTGATCTGATCAGCTGTGCGCCTCCAAGTAGGTGCTTTGATGGAAAGCTTCAAACACACAAGCCCAAGGACTCTCCCCACAGTACTCTCTGTGCATAAGAACGGCCATACTGAGTCAGACCAAAGGTCCATCTAGCCCAGTAGCCTGTCTGCCAACAGTGGCCAATACCAGATGCCCCAAAGAGAGGGATCACAACAAGTAATCCTCATGTAATCCCTCACCTGTAACCCACCTCCAGAGAAACAGATGGCAAAGGTGGCTCTCCAGACTGCAGTAGATGCTGTAGATATAGCAGCCAGATCTCTGGCTATAGGACTCATGGCACCACTCATTGACCTTTCCTAGAGAGAGGCCCAAAATGCCATCCAAGACCTACCCTTGAACAAGTCCAACCATTTTAATAAAAATGGATGAGTTCCTACACTCTCTACAGGTCTCCAGATTCACTCTGCAATTCCTGGGGATTTATGCTCCAGTTCCCAAGTGAAAACACAAAAACCAGCTCTTTAGGTTTCAATCATTCTGTTTACACTCCCCATTTTACTGGCATCTTAGCATCTGTGTAAATGACACATAATTCAGAAATCCTGTTTCCCTCTACAGCTATAAGTTTTACTGTCTGTTGCTCCCAATTCCAGGCCAAAGGCCATTTTTTGCTGTGCAGGTCAAGATCTGTATACCACCACTGACACCACATACTTCTTCCTCTGCCATCTTTGAAGGTCATTTTACTTTCTTCAGTCAGACCTGGAATACTATCACCACAGACAATTGGTTTCTTGAGATTGTCCATGAGGAGTACTCCAAAGAGTATTTCTTTCCCTCCTCACAAGCCACCTTCTCTGATCCTTCTTTGGGGACCACTCTCACCAACTGATTTTTTCAACAGCAAGTGGAATACCTTTCATACCAGGAAGAGATAGAAACAGTTTCACCTCACTCCCAAAGGAGAGATTTCTACTCCCCATATTTCCTAACCTCCCAGAAAGATGGAGGGTGAAGACCCAGTCTGAATCTTTGGCAACTCAACATGCCCAGCTTGATCCCTTTCATCACCTTTGAACCATGAACTATGATGAACAGAGTGTCTCTCTCTGTTAGGCTCATGGTCACATGCACCTGCATGATGTCATTCACCAGACTTCACTTGTGGTGCCTCAAAGCTGGGCTCCATTCAACCTGCCACCCCCACAGCAGTGGGTGAATTCTCCTTAGAATTTCTTAGTGGTCCAACCAAAACAAAGTCATGATGGGAACTCTCTTCAGACATCCTATACCAAGGGCCTCCCATCCTGATCGAGGCCTCCCTTATAAGTTTGGGCACTCACCTGAACTAACACATTGTTCAGGGTACTTGGATCTCTTGAGAGACCAAACTGCATGTACACTTGCTGGAACTGAGAATAATCCACCTTGCATGCAAGACCTTCCTTATCCATTTACAATTAAGATGAGACAATAGCACCGCAGTGGTGTGTATAAACAGAGAGGCGTGAGAGCCTGTTCCTTCTGTCTAGAAGCAGTCAGACTTGAGAACTGGTGCACCAGAAACCACATCTTGTTACAGGCCACATATTTACCACGTGTACACAACTCTCTGGCAGACAAGTTTAGCAACAGTTTCTTCGCAGATCATAAATGGAAGCCCCATAACATATTTCTAATCAACATATTCCCATAATTGGGAACTCTGCTATGGAACCTCTTTGCATCCCAAACAAATAAAGAGCTTCCTATGTATTTCTGCAGGGAAGCCATAGGACACACTACTCAGGGTGACACTTTCCTGCTCCTCTGGACAGACAGCTTCAGATACACCTTTTCTCTCACCCCATGCTATTGCAAGCTCTATGGAAGATCTGTTGCAAAAGAGCTGCCATCCTCCTCCTAGCACTCTGTTGACCAAGACAATGCTAGTTCCTAAGATATCTGCAAGTCCACCTACCAGGATCCACCCATTTCAGGATCTTCTAAGTCAGGATGGGCAGGGGGAGATCAAGCACCCCAATCTTGGCTCACTCTCCCTACTGGCATCAGAAATAGAATGCACAGGCTTCACTCCTGTCTCAAGATGGAGTTTGTCCCATGACAAAGTCACCCATCCTTGCATGACTCAGTTCTTTTAAATTAGCAGCCTATGCCCCCATGCTAGTCTGAACCATCAGAGAAAAGATAATCAAATATGGATTGGCACCACCCAGGGCCCATTGTCAGTCAAATGCTACCCAGAGGCTTCTGTGATAGCATAATTTAAGAGATTCTTTCACTAAGGTAGCCTGTGGTCAATGCACCTGTCTTGGCAGATTTGTCCGAGAGAGTCATGCGTAAATCATAAAGTCAGATTAGAAACCTCAGTCTGTGAAGCATTAACATGTGAATGACAGTTTATCTGGAGTACATTTTACACGCATCTTTGTAAAGTGCTTCTGAAAAGCATGGGCTTGGCAGAGTTGAAGTTTAAAGTCTATTTATCCAGGGAATAGGGAAAGTAAGATAAATATCAATGTAAGTTTCCCCAACACTACCCTGCTAATGTCCTCGCTCCTGACCTGCAGAGTGTAGTGTAAGCTCTGTGATTGCTCTCGTAGCTGAGTGTGCCAATAAGAGTGACAAGCATGATGGGGTGTTTTGTTAGGTGGACTCTTGTCTACTGGATGCTGGGCTAACACCACTTACTCACTTATTCAGTCTAGCATGACCTCAGCTCATTCTCTATTTCAGAAAAGAGCATGACCTGGAAAACCTTTCTTATGGTAAAAGACTTAAAAAAATCAACTTGCTTAGGTTACTGAAACGAAGGTTAAGAAGTAATCTGATCACAGCTCATCACTACCTACAAAGGGAGAAGATTTCTGATATTAGAGGGCTCTTCAACCTACCGGACAAAGGCACAGCCTGATCCAGATAATTAGATTAGGGAAAAAAATGAAAACTCTAGAGATTGAAGTTGTGGTTGTGTCACTCATCTTATCATTAGGGCTGGAGGACTTGATGCTGTTTATCATCAGTACATCTAACAGAGATTAGGGAAAGTCACACACTGTGCTTACTAAATATTATAGAAATAGCTCAACTTGAAAGAGTTTATAACATAGCCTTGTTGTCAAGATTTAACCCTTAAAAACTTGCCAGTTTCCAAAGTCATGACATCTGGAAACACACTGTACCTAGCATTTGGGTTCAGAGCACACAATGCAGTGAATGGTGACAGGGAACAGGTGGATATGTATTCTAGATAAGTCTGACTTGGCTTGTCTCCCGGATGATGGAACCTCTGTTCCTTGCTTCTCTAATCTCGTATTCACCTCGTGCTGTGTTGGACAGGAGCGAACAGGACGTTTGTTGGGAGCTCAGAGGATAAATCCTATAGCTAGAAGGACAAGGTGAGTTGAGATGCTTTTTAGGAGATTGTGTTAAAGTAAGACATGTGGGAGTAGATCGGGTATCTTGTGTAAAGGATTAATAAGTGCCGTGAGAGAGATGGATGAAACTGAAACTGAAGCTCAGAGGATAAAGTGAAACACAATAATATAGTGTGTCTGGTTACATGAGGCACATGTTTTAAGAATTCCATAGATATTAAAAGTTATTACAGTGCTCAGAGATTAATTGCAATACTATTGTGGGGAGGGCACATACAATATATAAATAGAGAAAACATACAAATACAGGCATAGTACATTTTGTGTTTCCTGTCCTTTGGAAAAATGATAATGATTGTTCAGTATTAGCCAACAACAAAGCACTCTGTATTTCAGCAGTGCAAGAAGCTAATTTGTTACAACTCTTCTGCACATTAGGGCCAGAATAAGTCATATCCACAGCTTCAACTACAGTTATTCATGTAATTGTTATTGGCTTGTATATATTAGGATGATAGATAAAATATTTGAAATGGCAGACACGATCATTGCTTAGAAGAGGATGGCTAACCTTTTGTGTTTCCAAATCAAGAAACACTTTAATCGGTTTATTTTAAAAAAAGAGCATTTATGCATGACTGTGAATAGTCAACTACTCTAGCCTGAACAGTTATATCCTTAGAGGCTAGACATCATCTTCAATTGACAAGACAGTTTTGCTTTTGCAAGGTGGATGCCTCAGTGACAGTGATTTTGTTACCAGTTCTAGAATAAAATAGAGATGCTCCTCCAGGAAAAAAAAAAGATGTCTTCTTGTAGGTATTTCTATTGTCTTTTTTCAGGTAAAAATTAAGGAAATCACCAAAACACGATACAATGGCTAAGTATAAAAAGTCTTCATAGTTTTTGATCATTCTATCTCCCACATACAAGTATAACAAAAACATTTAATTAGTGATGCTACCTATCTATATAGCCACCTTAAATACATCTAATCAAAAAAACCAAACAACAAAACTTAAAACTTTTTTCTTTCCTTGTGTTGCTTTTAGGCAAAAATGATGCCCATTTCTTTTCTGAAAGGTAGCCCAGATTATTAATCTGATCCTAGTCATTTTAGCTAGAGTTTGATATAGGAGGAATTTCCCCTTTGTTGTGGACTCTTTGAGGGCCTCAGGTTTGCATTCCTATGAAGTTCCTCTAAGCAACAACCTCTGGGCATTAAATTAATCAATTAATCCTCTCTCTCCCACTTTGGTGACTGCCATTTAGTTTATTACCTGCAGCACATTCCATTTTGAATACTGATTAAAAAAAAACACACACACAAAACAAGGACCCTTTATTGAAGCTTATGTGTGCTGCTTTATCTGAGAAAGTGCAGGGTTTGGGAAACTGCATAACAAAGCTACACAATGCACACTTTATGCTAGCAGGGTGCAATTTAATCCATTTTTAATTTAGGCTCGAGTGCTGGCAAAACCTACTTGGCCTCTTCAGTGCATATGAGCCATTTTGCTTCTGTCCTAAGATAAAATAATAGTGGGTGGATTTGCCAATGATCCTGCTGTTATTCGCATCAGTGGTGAATAAATGGGATTAGGGGAAACATATATAATAGTGTCTTGACAGAAGAAGGGTAGTTGATTGAGGCCATTCTAAGCCTCGTAGCAAATGTCACAACTTCTCCTATAGGGTCACTTGGGTAAGATTTAGATCATTGCACCGCCATTTGATTTTTTTAAAATCCTTCCCATCACAGTTGGAAATTTTTTTTGTGGACCTGTAAAGGGAGACTCAACTTTCTCAAAAGTTTGTAAATGATTTTTTTCTAAAGCACTCATTGAAACAGACTTAAAAAAAATACAGCTTTTACAAAATGCTTACCTTGATCCTGATTCTTACTTTATAAAGTGTTCTACTTCTTTGGAGTGTGCGCAGTTCCCAATTTCAGTTAACCACTGGACAAGGCAGGTGCAATGCATAATTTTTTGTTTTTTGGCAACAACAAATTATTCTCCAATATGTAGCAAATAACATCTTGAAATCTGTTTATGTAATCAGCAGTTTAAGGGCTAACACTTGGTAAAAGTTTAGGAAAATCAGACCCTTGGAAGTGAAGCAATCACTGTTCATATTTGCCGAAGGCCAATGTAAAACTTTATTTAGAATCTCACTCTCTCTCTTTCTTTCTCCAGCTTTTTATATTTAATTGTTTTGTGTGTGTGTGTATATATATATATATATAAAAAGTGCATAAAGGATAGTGCGGTGAAGTTTTATCAGTGTCAATTTGGCATTATCAAATTGCTCCTAAGTAGTGAAACCACATGCAATCTACACAAGTAGACTGTGCAGATAAAACATTTATGTCAAACAAACACTTATTCTGCATATGCCACAGATTAACAAATATCTGCTTCTGGAGAGTTAAATGTTTGTTTGATATTTTTAATACAGAGTGCTGCCTGTAAAATCAGTTACCTTAATTACCAGTAGCCCAAAGCTACAGCAAACAAAAACAATAACTAATTAAATAAAACACCATTAAAAGTGACATAAAATAGTTTTTCCTATATAGAAAACTATTATGCTTTTAAAATGTAGTATGTGAATATCTTCCAAATACAGAGTGCTATGTATCCATTTTTTAGAATATCAAGCTGCCATTTCTAACTCTGAAGGGTGTTGGGATTTTAATCTCATTTTGGGTTCTGGACTAAATATACCACTGCACTGTGGCTCAGACCTAGAGGTGAGTGGGAGGAGGCAGTTTCATTGTTGAGGGACAAGGAATATATTTTGGGGGCAGGTTAAGTTTAAAATGGCAGCTGCTTGCCGTTTCAATCAGGTTGGAATCCTATCCTGAGGGATGGATTAATGGGCAGGATACAGGTGAAGCGTGCGTTTCAGAACTCAGCTACTGTAACAAATGTGCAACACATAAAAAAAGCCATTTTCTATACTGAGTTCTCTAGAATAAGGATTGTGTGTAATTTGTTAGTACAACCCCTGGTACATCAGGACTCTAATCCCTGATTGGGGTCCTTAGCTGCTACCACAAGAGAAATAATAAATAATAATAACAGATTTAAGACTTCACTGAAATCTCTGACCTTGTTTACCTTGAAAGATCACATGGCAGAGGTCAGTAGCCACTGGAGTCAATGGCCACTGCTACACATATCACTGTCACATATGCTGCTCAGAGTAAATCTGTGTCTGACTATGCTGCAGCATAGTATAACATTGCTCAGCATTATTCATAGAAAAGGAAGTGTGGACTCCTGTATCCATTTGAAATTACAGTGTAAAGATGACTAGGCAGACTTTAACTGCCCACGTTTTTTTGCAAAAGCTCTATCAGAAATGTCAAATGTCAGAATGTTCTCAATAAGATTAATGTTATATAATGTTTGCTGTGACTATTACATGAATCACCAAGAGCAGTCCTCTTGGTATTAAAGGAGCAATTATAGCCCAAATATGTGAAAATGTGAAAGATCAAATACTAATAACTTGTGTCTCAGACATAAGAACAGCCATATTGGGTTAGACCAAAGGTCCATTTAGCCCATTATCCTGTCTGCTGACAGTGGCCAATACTACATGCTCCAGAGGGAGGGAACACAACAGGTAATCTTCACATGATCCCTCTCCTATCATCTATTTCCAGCCAAACAGAGGCTACAGACACCATTCCTACCCATCCTGGCTAATAGCCATTGATGGACATAACCTCCATGAATCTATCTACCTCTTTTCTGAACCCTGTTAAAATCCTAGCCTTCATCATATGCTTTGGCAAGGAGTACCACAGGTTGACTGTAAACTAAGTGAAGAAAAACTTCCTTTTGTTTGTTTTAAACCTGCTGCCTATTAATTTCATTTGCACATTGGAAAAAATAACCCCAACTATATATATGCTATGATGGAGACTAATTTAGCTACAACTACTCAAGGGAGAGATCTTCGAGTCATTGTGGATAGTTCTCTCATTCTTATATTGTGGGAATAAGTAAATAAGTTTTCCTTATTCACATTTTTCACACAAGTCTCCTCTTTTCTAAGCTGAAAAGTCCAAGTCTTTTTCATCTCTCTTCAAATGGGACCTGTTCTAATTCCCTAGTCATTTTTGTTGCCCTTTTCTGAACCTTCCCCAAAGCCACTACATCTTTTTTGAGGTGAGGCAACCACATCTATATGCAGTATTCAAGACATGTGCATACCATGGTTTTATATAGAGGCAATAAGATATTCTCTGTCTTATTCTCGATCCCTTTTTTAATTATTCCTAACATTCTGTTTGCTTTTTTGACTGCCACTGCTCACTGTGGATATGTTTTCAGAGAACTATCCACAATGACTCGAAGATCTCTCCCTTGAGTAGTTGTAGCTAAATTAGTCCCCATCATATCATATATATAGTTGGGGTTATTTTTTCCAATGTGCAAATGAAATTAATAGGCAGCAGGTTTAAAACAAACAAAAGGAAGTTTTTCTTCACTTAGTTTACAGTCAACCTGTGGTACTCCTTGCCAAAGCATATGATGAAGGCTAGGATTTTAACAGGGTTCAGAAAAGAGGTAGATAGATTCATGGAGGTTAGGTACATCAATGGCTGTTAGCCAGGATGTGTAGGACCCCGCTAACTACCTCTCCCCATTCTGAAAACTGACCATTTATTCCTACCCTTTGTTTCCTGTCTTTTAACCAGTTATCAATCCATGAAAGGACTGGCCCTCTTATCCCATGACAACTTACTTTACTTAAGAGCCTTTGATGAGGGACCTTGTCAAAGTCTTTCTGGAAATCTAAGTATACTATATCCACTTGATCCTGTTTGTTCACATGTTTTTTGACGCTCCCCCCAAAGTACTCTTTTAGATTAGCAAGGCATGATTTCCCTTTACAGAAACCATGTTCACTTTCCCTCAACAAATTATATTCATCTATGTGTCTGTCAATTATATTCTTTACTATAGTTTCAACTAATTTTCCCGGTACTGACGTTAGACTTA